ACTTGAACCCCCAACACTGAAATCCCTAAAAGTCCTTAAGAATCCACTCGTAGCACATCTCTTCTCTAGCGAATCTCACATTTTCCTTAGGGAAAGGCTGATTTGTTGTCGACTGTACACACTCGTTTTCCTTACGTGGCTCGATTTGAATCGCTTACGACGCCGCGACCGCGTAGAATATTCAAGCGGCTCGAAAGAAGTCTTCCTCAAGAAAGAGAGGATCCTCCTACCCTAAGGTTTCAGTCTCGTTGTCTGCCGTACGAAAGATAAGGCCGCTCTCTATGAAGACTGGCCGTCATTGTCTTGATCCTCGAACCGAGGATTACAAGGGGACGTTAAAGGGAAACGACGACGCGTCGCGGCGCCCATTAATGCCGCGTATCTCACGCAACATCGGCGCCGAATAATACCCTCTCGACGCGATCGCGACGACGAATCTGAAGCGGTAGTTGCGTTCGTGTTAACAACCAAGATGGAGACGTATGGATCTTTGGGCATTATGGTGAATTCTACGGAGATTTTCGTCGGTGAGGTTGATGAAAAATGAGATGTGCAGAGGGCGGATTTATGGGGCGGTTTGTGGTTATGTTGGGGACGCTGGATATTTTGTGACGGTTTTGTGTTGTAATATGGAGAGATATAGGAATAGTTCTGGTAATAACTATAAGTTGTAGTGGTAATTATAGGATGATTATAAATCCTAGAATTTTCCAAAAGTGGTGCAAATCGTCTCCTTCTACCTTCTCACGTTACTTTATCAATCTCCAATTATGCAATTAATGGATTAATGTCTACCTAAAAATTAGTCTTTACTAATTAGTTAGTGCACAATTATGACACAAACGTAATGACATAAGCGATATTGACATAACCATAACTCAATAATGTAACCAGATGAGAATGTCTAGGACACTCAGTATGTGAAGACATCCAATAGGACATTTCGCGGATTCCCTATCATATATCCCTTCTATCCAATCCGAAATAAATCGGAATGTTTTCCGTGTTCGCAAACGCGGCATCGGAATCGTCGTTCGTCGATGCTTGTTAAGCAAAATATCATGTCGACAGGTCGACTTTGAATGGAACTCGAAACGCTTCCTTCCTTTCCCCTTCGTGCCTGGAATTCCATCGACGAGACGTTTCCTTGGTACACTTCTGAACCATGCTCGTACACTCGAGCAGAAGACTTTCTTCGGGCAAGGACAAATACGTACACTCCGATTGAGATAATAGGAAAATTCCTTGGTTTTCAAGTTTACGAAATTCTTAGTAAAACGGATAGTTGAAATTTTATATTTTTAAGAAGTTTAAAATCTAAGGATACAGATTTGTAGATTTGGAATTCTTTAGATAGGGAGATTATTAGATGTCAAAATCTGGTGATCCCTAGATTTGAAAATGTGAAAATCACTAGATATCAAGATTCTTATATCCCTATGAGGTCCTTTCATCGACTAATACTAGATAAATTTCTAAGTACCTAGATCTCTAGATCTGTAGATACGTAAGTCCCTAGATTTTCAATTCTACAAATACTAAAATCACTAGATGCCTGAGTTTCCAAATGTACAAATCACTATTTTCAGATATCTAAATCTCGAGATATTCAAATACCTAAATTCCCAAATCACCAGATTTCCAATTTTCTAGATTCACATATCCCTAGATATCCAAATACCTAAATTCACAAATCCTAAAATTTCTAAATTCTATAATTTCCAAATCCCTAGATTTCCAACTCTGTATATTAAAGAATCCTTAGTTTCCCAAATCCCTAGATTCCCAAATCCCTGGATTCTCAAACCCCTAAATTCCCAAATCCCTAAATTCAAAAATACTTAGATTCCCAAATCCCTAATACGCAAATCCCTAGAATTACAAATAGCAAAATTCCCAAATCCTAAAATTTCTAAATTCCAAAATTTCCAAATCCCTAGATTACCAACTCTGTGTATTAAAAAATCCCTAGATTCCCAAACCCCTAAATTCCCAAATCCCTAGATCGCCAAATCCCTACATCCACAGATCCCTAGATCCACGGATCCCTAGATCCACGGATCTCTAGATCCACACCAAATTCCTAGATTCCCAAATCCCTATATTCCCAAATCCCTAATTCCTAAATACCTAGTTTCCCAAATCCCTAATATGCAAATCCCTAGAATTCCAAATAGCAAAATTCCCAATTCCCAAAATTTCTAAATTCTAAAATTCCCAAATCCTTAGATTACCAACTCTGTATATTAAAAAATCCCTAGATTCCCAAACCCCTAAATTCCCAAATCCCTAGATTCCCAAACCCTTAAATTCCCAAATTCCTAGATTCCCAAATCCCTATATTCCCAAATCCCTAATTCCTAAATACCTAGTTTCCCAAATCCCTAATATGCAAATCCCTAGAATTCCAAATAGCAAAATTCCCAATTCCCAAAATTTCTAAATTCTAAAATTCCCAAATCCTTAGATTACCAACTCTGTATATTAAAAAATCTCTAGATTCCCAAACACCTAAATTCCCAAATCCCTAGATTCCCAAACCCCTAAATTCCCAAATCCCTAGATTTCCAAATCCCTAATTCCTAAATACCTAGTTTCCCAAATCCCTAATATGCAAATCCCTAGAATTCCAAATAGCAAAATTCCCAATTCCCAAAATTTCTAAACTCTAAAATTCCCAAATCCCTAGATTACCAACTCTGTATATTAAAAAATTCCGAGATTTCCAAACCCCTAGAGTCCCAAATTCCCATAAATCCCGCAAAAACCCCCAAATTCCCCAAATCCCCCAAATCCCCAAATCCTCAAATCCCTAACTCTCCCTAAATCTCCCTAAATCCCTAAATCTCCAAATTCGCAAATCCAAAATACCCAAAAATTATTACAAATGAGTCCAACTCACAACGTCGCATCATCAAATGTAACGTTTCCCCTAGTACACCTAAAATTACCCACCATGCTCCAGAAGCGAAATAACAAATCTGATTTGCATGCAAGCTCGAATCATACGAGTTTACAGGATGCAGTCAGTAATTCGATGTCGCGCTTCGGCTAAGATGCGCCTCCATTTTGTCGTGGGATTTATTTAGACAGAAGCGCGACGTCGGAAAGGCAGCTCGCTTTTAATGTTGATCTTCTTATCCTGACGTGTCCCGTAATGTCGTTCGTGAATGTGTCTATGCTCGCTACCGAAGTCTGCTCCTATTTACGCTCGAGGAACTAAAATTAGAGTAACACTCATTCTCGGGCGAAGACTCGAGGAAAATAGCTTGAAAGTTTAATGGACGGCTGAGATAGTTTCTCAAGTATGTGATGAAATAAACGTCCGTCGGGGTACTCGTACACGGGAAATATTAACTGAACTTTCCTCGGATTTACGAGAATCGGATTGCATTGATGTTTAATATTTGTTTTAAGGACTTTTCGAAATGTCGAAACATGTTTTGTTGATTTTGCGTCGTTTTCTGACTTACCGACGTGACGCAAAGTTGAAATAGAGTGGAAATTTAAGGTTTCTGCGAAATGCGTTAAGATTCGTTGAAAAAAAATGTTTAAGTCAGGATGATCTTTAGGTAGTTTGCTTCAGATTTCTTCTCTTTCGTTTTCAATTCCCTGGATTTACAGATTTCCACATTATTCAATTTTAGAGTCTGCAAATTCACTAGTTCTTAAATCTCTAGATCACCAAATTCATTGATTCACAGATTCTTAGAGCCCTAGATCCCTAAATCCATAGATCACTAGATCCACAGATTCCTAGATCGCCAAATCCCTACATTCACAAATCCCTAGATCGCCAAATCCCTACATCCACAGATCCCTAGATCCACGGATCCCTAAATTCCCAAATCCCTAAATTCCCAAATCCCTAAATTCCCAAATCCCTAAATTCCCAAATCCCTAAATTCCCAAATCCCTAAATTCCCAAATCCCTAAATTCCCAAATCCCTAAATTCCCAAATCCCTAAATTTCCAAACCCTAAAATTTCTAAATCCCTAAATTCTCAAATCTCTAAATTTCCAAATCCTAAAATTCCCGAATCGCTAGATTCCCAAATCCCTAAATTCCCAAATCCCTAAATTTCCAAACCCTAAAATTTCTAAATCCCTAAATTCTCAAATCTCTAAATTTCCAAATCCTAAAATTCCCGAATCGCTAGATTCCCAAATCCCTAAATTCCCAAATCCCTAAATTTCCAAACCCTAAAATTTCTAAATCCCTAAATTCTCAAATCTCTAAATTTCCAAATCCTAAAATTCCCGAATCGCTAGATTCCCAAATCCCTAAATTCCCAAATCCCTAAATTTCCAAACCCTAAAATTTCTAAATCCCTAAATTCTCAAATCTCTAAATTTCCAAATCCTAAAATTCCCGAATCGCTAGATTCCCAAATCCCTAAATTCCCAAATCCCTAAATTTCCAAATCTCTAAATTCCCAAATCCCTAAATTTCCAAACCCCTAAATTCCCAAATCCCTAGATTCCCAACTCTGTATATTCAAAAATCCCTAAATTCCCAAATCCCTAGATTCTCAAATACCTCTCTATCGTTTAAAGATCAAAGAAATAAACTCCTATATCCCTGATTCAGATCATCATGAAATCACCATATCCCTAGACTCCTAAATTCCCAAATTTCAAATCATCCAAATACCAAACTTCCCACTTGACAAAATCACCAAACTCCAAACCTCAGAAATGTATAAATTCCCAAACTTCCAAATTTGCAAATCCCTAAATTAACATCCTCTCGCTATATTGCCGATTTTGAATAACTGCCTATCGCTATAGTCGGCGGCGATATAACGCGAGTCTACTGTACGCGAAAGGGAACAAAGATCGCCTACCGCACAAAAAGGGAATGAACGAATCGAACGGCATAAAGGAAAGACTGAAGGCTGATACGAACAAAAGAGCTCGTAAAGCTGCTGCTCGCTTTCACCGATCTTCCTTTCAAGACTGTTGCGCCATGTACAAGGAACGTTTCTCTGCTGTTACAGGTATATTCACGGTAATGTGTTACAACGTGCTGTGCGACAAGTACGCGACGCGGCAAATGTACGGTTATTGTCCGAGCTGGGCGCTCGATTGGGAATATCGGAAAAAGGGAATCCTCGATGAGATACGACATTACGCCGCGGACATCATCAGCCTGCAGGAGGTCGAGACGGACCAATTCTACAATTTCTTCCTGCCGGAGCTCAAGCAGGACGGCTACGATGGAATCTTTTCGCCAAAGTCCCGCGCGAAGACAATGGCAGAGAACGATCGGAAATATGTGGATGGTTGCGCCATTTTTTATAGGACTGCGAAGTGAGTACATACACGTCTTTATATAACATTCGGATACATCCATTCCATTGTTACGTATCGATTCGCTCGAGAAAGTATCGGTAAATTATTTTCCGAACTTTCTTGTTTTAAGTTTTGATGAAAGGTTACATGGCGGGAAATGTGAAATTAGATCAACAGTTACATGTCAGGAAATTTGGGAATCTCGGTGTTACTTTTTCTAAGTCATTTTGTGGAGGTTGCTAGCTTGTAATTAATGTTTTGAAAATTTTTGATTGGTTAGTTAAGACGTTGGGAAATTAGGAAGTTGGAAATTAAGTAGTTAGTAAACTAGGAAATTGGAAAATTAAGACTTTGGGATCTTATGAAATTGGGAAATTAGGAAGCTGAGAAATTAGGAAGTTGAGAAATTAGGAAGATGGGAAATTAGGAAGTAGGGAACTTAGAAAGTTGACAAATTAGGAAACTAGAAAATTAAGACGTTGGGATATTACAAAATTGGGAAATTATGAAGTCGGGAAATTAGAAAGTTAGGAAATCACAAAGTTGGGAAATTAGGTAGTTGGGAAATTAGGAAATTAGGAAATTAAGACTTTGGGATATTATAAAATTGGGAAATTAGGAAGCTGAGAAATTAGAAAGTTGGGAAATTAGGAAGTTGGGAAATTAGAAAGTTAGGAAATCAGAAAGTTGGGAAATTATAAAATTGGGAAATTAGGAATTTGAAAAATTAGGTAGTTGGGAAATTAGGAAGTTGAAAATTAAATAGTTGGGAAATTGGGAAATTGGAAACTTAAAAAATTAGAAAATTAAAAAATCAAAATTTAGAAACTTGAAAAACATAAAAATGTGCAAATTGAGGAACTCATACAACCCTAAAAATATGAAAATTTAATAATAACGAAATGATCAATTTTACAATTAAACCTGTCTTTATCCAAATGAAGTCCACATTGCATCCAAGCATATGTCACATTGATCATCGTGTACTTTATCGTTTTCGAGTGATATCTGAACGGAGCACTGCTTATTTTCAGTGTATCACGACGTAATGGCAGCTGAACGACATTACCCTGCCGCGATGCATGAAATTATCGAACGGGTGAGGGCGATTAATGTACCGTATGCACAGGTCGTAGATGCATAACGGGTCCTTTATGACCGACACCATAAATACCCAGGCGAACAAATGACAATATTAAGATAGGCCAATTGATAGCTCCGTTTGCTGTCTCTGTGTAATCAGTTTATCCACGTTTGCTGGTCATTTCAAGAATTATCGTTCGCTCGTAATCCGTTCGTTCCTGATAGCCATGTTGTTTGGGGAACACATTATACCTTCGCGCGGTGAACAATCCTAACCTCAACATCGTGTGTGCTTAATAATCTTCATGAATATCTCTTCCCTTCGAAACGTACGTTCACTATGAATTAATCAGGATGGGAATTTACTATCAAGTTTGGTTTGTTTGCAATAAAATGGATTTATTTATTATTTATTTACAGTTTAGTTTTAAATAGTGTGTTTTATATTACAGTGGTGATCTCAAGTCAGAAGATAATTTTACTTATTTAATTCACAAGTAATAATGGTAGACATTATGCAACATGAAGTTAGATCGGTACATAGATATTTATATGCAAAGATAAGTAAGGTTAGAATTTGTATAAGGTCATCAAAATGGCGGACATTTTGCTTAACACCACATGAAATCAATATTATTAGAATAAAGCACATAAATTTGCAAGAATTACTTATTTAAAATAAATAAGGTTAGAATTAGCTGGACAATGTCAACAAAATGGTGGACCACCATTTAACATCACACTAGACAAACATTATTAAAACAGTCCATAAAATGTTTTGAAATAAATCATTTAAAACAAGTGAGGTTAAAATGTATGGTACAATGTCAACAAAATGGCAGGCCACTATTTAACATCACACTAGACAAACATTATTAAAACAGTCCATAAAATGTTTTGAAATAAATCATTTAAAACAAGTGAGGTTAGAATGTATGATACACTGTCAACAAAATGGTGGACCGTCATTTAATATCACACCAGATAAAAATTATTAATGCAGTCCATAAAAATGTTCTGAAATAAATCATTTAAAACAAGTGAGGTTAGAATGTATGGTACAATGTCAACAAAATGGTGGACCACTATTTAACGTCACTCCATATAAACATTAATACAATCCATAAAAATGTCCTAAGATTACTTAATAAATAAGGTTGAACCAGTATCCAGCAAGATACTTCTATTTCAATCGCGAAATTCTTGCAGAGGCCATCATCTTCTCTCCCAGAACTTCTCTATTAGTTCAGAAAAGTGGCTGCGAGGTAATACGAGTGTTTGGCGAGCGGACGCGTGGAAACTTTAGCGAAAAATGATCCGAGTTAGCCGGAGCGTGGTCGGAAGTGTCGATACTTTTGATCCCCGGCAAACTGAAGATTCCACTGTATATAAGATAGCAACGGTCACCTCCGGCATCTTGTATCAGAAAAGTTTCTTCTCTTCCGAAACTTACACCGGGCGAGGAACTTGCGAACTATAAAGCTATTATAACGGAGCAATTGTCTGGTTGTCTCTGACAATTGTTCGGAGAGCAATGAACGTCAGTCATCTAAGTTCTTATGAAAAATTTTGATGATGTAGGTGAATAGGTATTTTTGTCGAAATATATGAAGGTAGATGTTTCTAAGATATCATGAAAAATAGAAGTGTAGAAGTAAATTATTGGCTCTACGTCTCAATTTGCTGCAAAACTGTACGGCTGTCGATACAGCTCCCGAGGCACTACTTGTGCATTCCTCAAAAGAAGTCCGCCGAGTCCACTTTGCGATATCGCCGTATTCTCCACCTCTGACCTCGTAGCGTCCTTCTGTATGTCCTTGAACGTGCCAGGAAAAAAATCGAACATAAATCCTACATGCCTTCAAGCGTGGAACACGAGCATCGATCGATCTTCTTAATTATCTCCGGTATGAACCGCCATAGGTTTCATCTAGAAGTATTATAGTGTATCGTAGGTCAGCGTACTAACTCCGGAGCTCATTCTGAGTTTTGTAACCCAAGTCAGAGCGTCGTGGAAATATTAGATATCCGCGCTCGCATCTCACGGGATAACAAGATACGAGACAGACATGGCCCTGTTGCACAAATGGCCTCTGTTAACGGCTAACGTTGCAACGGGAGCCACTATATTCAGCGTGGACTATAAAGAGCGGGGCTTCTTTAAACGGCAGCGCAACCGTCGGCCATTTTATATGCCACTCGATTCGCCGCCGCAAAATCCTCGGCCGGCGTAATGAACGCGATGCCAATGGCGGACTAACAACCTAATCTCTACCGGGAGAAACGACCATCGTTACCTAACGAATCCGCTCTTCCACGAACTTTTTGAATAAATTGTTACGTGTATGCAAAGGTAATGGCTGTTGTGTTGCGTTCGCATTACTACTTCCTGTACCAGTTGTTGGTAATCTATAATAACCTTCTTTCATGGACAAACATAATTTCTCATTTAACATACAGAGTATCAACGTGCAGGTCTGTTGAAGTACGAATATATTGATGGTACGAGTGGAATGGATTCTTAAATAGCTGGAGGGTTTCGTGTGAAAAATGGCGATATAGCGGGAGGTGAATAATACTTAGGTATCATGCGTTGTAGTTAATTTTGCAGGCGAAGGAAATTAAGAAATATGGACGGTTGAAAGTTAGAAAATTGAGAATTGTGGAGAGCTATTCCTTATATTGCCATTTTTATTGGAAAGCTAGCTGTATCGCCATTTTCCCAATGAAACTTTGTCCCATATTATTTTCCTTAGGGAAGCTTCTCTTTATTTTACTGTTTTCTTGAATTCAATTTCTTCGTTGCTGTTTTCCCTAGGGAAGTCTTTTCCTCTGTTAAGATTTTTCCTAGGGAAGTCTTTTCCTCTATTAAGATATTCCCTAGGGAAGTCTTTGACTTCATCAATATTTTCTCTAAAGAAGTTTTTCATTCCATCAACATTTTATCTAGGGAAATTTTTGACTCCATGAATATTCCCTAGGGAAATATTAGACTCCTTCAGTATTTTTGCCAGGGAAGTTTTTCATTCCATCAACATTTTACCTAGGGAAGTTTTTAACTCCATCAGTATTCCCTAGGGAAATATTAGGCTCCATCTATATTTTCTCTAGAGAAGTTTTTTACTCCATCAACATTTTACCTAGGGAAGTTTTTAACTCCATCAATATTTCCTAGGGAAATATTAGACTCCATCAATATTTTTCCCTAGGTAAACTTACCTGTATTGCCATTTTTCCCATGGAACCTCCCTTGTTGTTATTTTCCCTATGAGAGCATTTTCCTGTTAAAATCATTTCTCCTAGAATTCCACTCTTCCATCACCAATTTCCCTAGAAAAACTTATCCCTATCTCACTATTTCCCCATGAAACTTGTCTCTAGATCACTATTTTCTTTAGATAAATCTCCATTTCAAGTTTGTTTTGAGAGTTGACCCTTATATAGCCATTTCATTCAATAAAATTCTTCCTCTATATTGCTATTTTCCTTAAAAAATTATTACCCTCACAATTTTGCTCAGCAAAACTTTCTCCTATATCACCATTTTCTTTAAGGAAGTCTATCATGCTCTGCAATGCATCATTCAAATGTGCCTATATAGAAACAACCCAACAATCTCTACAATCAGAATGTCCCCATACAGAGTTAACTCCACAATCTCTATAATCAGAATGTCCCTATACACAGATAAATTCGCTGATTCGGCCCGACGAATACAACCATGTTCAGAGCTATTTTTGCTTGTTTACTCGTCCGGGTTTTTATTTTCGCCCGAGTATTTATGCAATCAGTGCACGACATCTGTTGAGTAACTGCGGGTGACGTTGATTCAATCTTGTTTACGGGTTCAGGCAGGGACGCGAGAGGGATGATGGCTCGTAATGGGGATTCGGTGAAGAATATATTTCCCAACTATACGTGCCACACATATCGGAAAGGGAAGTCTGTATTCTACATGGCGTACGTGCTACGCCTCCGTACGAGTTTCCCGACGAAAATCATCCATGCTATCGTATCCAAGTCGCGAAGTTTCTTTCTCGCTGCGCGAAATTGAGTCTGGCCAAACGGCTACATGAGAACCGCTTGTGTGCAGCGAACAGATTCAGGAAGGGACCCCGTGACTTTGTAATCCGTTGAAATAACCGGTATCTCTGCCGATTCACTGATCCATTTCCTCTTCTTCTGCAGGTTTACCCTGATCAAGGAGCATTTAGTCGAATTCAATCAACTGGCAATGGCGAACGCGGAGGGCTCCGACAATATGCTGAACAGAGTTATGCCAAAGGATAATATCGGACTGGCTGCCTTGCTCAGAACGAAGGAGGCTGCCTGGGACAATGGTAAGTCCACTTTACAAGTTCAAGTTCACACGTTATATTGTCACGGAAAATATTCGTAGCTATGATGAGAACATCAGTAGGGTAAAATATAGGGAGACATTGTTTTTGAATAGAAGTAGTAATTTGAGGGTGAACATTAAACCTACTGGCATATAATGTGCACTTAATTTGTAATTAAAAATGAAGTTAAAGAATAAATAAACAAACGACGAAACATAAATTAGTACACACATTTATTCTTCATCTTGATGAAAATCAATGCTGATTTCAAGGAATGTACTTTAACAAAATATGTATCTTATAATAAGAAACTTATGGAGTTGCCATTTGACCGGTTTAGTGTTAATAACGGATAGAGTTGATCGAGTTTGGTAAAAGTATGATAGTAAGGGAAGTTTGTGCATAATATAGCTGTTGGAAAGCTGTCCGGAACACATCAGAGGCCGATACATTAATTTTCTGGTTTCCGCAAGATCGATTCGTTCGCGAGCCAATTGCCACCATTAATCACACGATGGCATGGTTCGGTGCCATCTATCAGTTACGCGGCGCACTAACATATCGAATTGAATCTGCAGGAACGAATCTCACATTTCAATAACGATATACAGCGGCCCCGATCACCTTTCAAGCATCGTAACAAGAAGATCGTTGCAAAATAATATAATCTTGTGGCGTAGAATATGCATATTAAGAAGGGTAGCGACACTCGATCGCGATGTGGACGCGTTTAAATTGCTAAACCAGTCAACGAAATGGACTGGCTGGCGTGTTTGGTATCGAAGCGACTGCTTAATTAATTGCGAGCGATGCTCGTCCTAGCGTAAATCGAAGAGCGAGCTTCGAGGTGCCTGAAGGAGATGAAGTGGCGAGAGTTCGTAGACCAGATATACGTGAGCAGCCTTATAATTCATGGTGCAGGACGCCAGGGCTGCCAATCCTATCTCCGACAGTCATCTACCAAGCGTCCCTCTACGTGTCACACGATCCACTTTTTTTCTCTTTTTAATGAGCATATTAGCTCGCATGCAGAGAGCATCTCAAAATGCAGCCACGCGTATGTATTACATGAGCCTCTGCCTACCTGCTCTCGTTTCCCCTGTTTCTCTCTTTTTTTTCATGTGTCCATCAATACTCTCCCTCTGTGCAGCTCACTTATCGATATTCATGTATCTTCTTGAATTCTGACGTGTCATCCACACAAGCCTACGGCCATTTTTTAAGTTAGATGTCTTTCAAGGAATTCTTATCGTGTGGCCATATTAAACAGTTTAATATGAGTTTATTATTAAAATCATTTAGGCTTGTAAATCTAATTTTCGAATGCAACATTTCAAAATGGTGAAACTTCGTAAGATATGCAAGTTGTTATTAAACATGCACGTGACTTGGTTACGGCGTGTTTAAAGTTCTAGCCGGTCGTGTGCAGCGAGACGTTGAAAATCTCGTTGCTCGGAGCAAATGTGCTTTGAAAATCCAGGGGTGGATGGAAGAACGTATAAAGATCTAAGGAGAGATGATGTCCGTAGCGTTTCGTTACCGTACTAATTAATTATCCACCCTCGCTATTTTTCCCCGTTTCCTTACTGACTTCGGAGTATTGATCGAGCAAAGGGCGACTGTGTGCAACGTACAGGATAATTAAGCCCTTTGCGTATGACGCTGAATAAGTATTTCAGAGTAATCGGTACATTGTTGCTAAACAAGCAAAAACCAGCGTGATTTTGTAATTAAAATTGTGCATTGTTTTGTTACACAAAGAGAGTGAATTTCAATAACATGAAATTCAAGAGAACGGGAAGCATGAATATGTATTGTTGACCAACGGTTTACAGAGATTATGCGAAAACACCCGGAAAACTGCAATACAACCTCCATGCTGTTCTTGCCAAGCAGCATTTGGTTTTGATTGCAAATTTTCTAGTACAGAATTATTATTATTAATCCATATTTTAGCATGAATTAAATATTTGTAGATCATAGCTTCAAATATTATTTTAATTTTAAAATTAAAAATTACTTACCTTGCAGTAGTCTCATTTCTCTCATTCTAAGTTTCATCCACATCTTTTGTTTTCTTCATGAAGTGTTTATAAATCTTCACTATCTTCTTAAGTGCTGAAGATGTCGCTACATGTCTCTTCCAGAGTGTGGCATGCGTGGTCAAATATTATCGTAACTGCGCCGCTATGCGGCCTCTGTAAGAATAATAGTGTTGTCAATTAATGTTATACCTTGTCATCAAGCATAAGGACCATACCGTTCAAATTGTGGAAATACTGCCGTCTCAAAAATGTCGGAATACAGAAATCAGCAAAATTATTGGGCGCAAGCACCGCCTGCACCCAACTACAATTTTGATACCTCCGGTTTTGGGCAACCTAACCAACAATTTGAATTTCAAACCTATAGTGACCAACAATCTGTAAATTATTCTTATAATCAAAAGAGCTTTCTCAATCCAAATGAAAGTGTGTATGCAGGTGATATGTTCAGTCAGGATAATTTTCCAAAAGGTATTTCATCGAGTGATGTTTAATTCCTTATACAATGATTATTATTATGAATATGGAATTGTAGGCCCAGTTGGATTTGATACGGAAGAGGAACCACCACTGCTAGAAGAATTAGGCATAAATCCTGATAGGATATTGCGCAAAACGTTAGCTGTATTAAATCCGTTTCATAGTGGTGGACAGATCGACGATGCAAGTTATTTACTTCAAGATTCTGATTTAGCAGGACCAGTGGCAAATTGTTTACTTCTTGCTGCGTGTCTTTTGTTAGCGGGTTCAAAAGCACATTTCGGTTATGTTTATGGTTTAGCTATGACATCGTGTATGTTAATGTATATTCTTCTTTCACTGATGACCAGTACCAGTAATATCACTCTGTCTTCTGTAGCATCTGTATTAGGTTATTGTTTATTACCTGTAGTAGCACTTGCAGGATTTAATGTCTTTTCGTCTTTGCAAGGAGTAGGCGGTCTAGTTCTGGCTGTTCTTGCAGTTACGTGGGCAACACTTTCTGCATCTAGATTGTTTTGTACTATGTCTGGAGAAAAGAATCAACGTCTTCTTATTGCATATCCTTGTATTCTTCTTTATGGTGTTTTCACTTTATTAGTAATATTCTAAAAAGGTTAGTTTCATTGAAGTACTGTTCATACAAAAACTTAAATTTTATATCCATTTCAAAACAGTTTGTGTTTTAAACATTTTTTTCTGTGCAAAACATTTTATACAACCACTTGTAAAATGTGATATATGATAATATAGTATTGTTATCTATAATTTAAATTTTTATTATCATATTGGTACAATGTTAATCAACATAAATATTGATTTATAGTTGAAAGCTATTTATTAGAACTATTTATGTAAGATTTTAAACTTATATAACATGTAATATGATTGATACTTAAATATATCTTTAAGGATATTATCATCATCATTTATTTCACTGTGCTATATAATTTGTAAATAAATTCCATTTAAATAAATAACACATGTTACTTAATCTGACAACACACCCTCCACACTCATATTTTTATAAAATTTTAAATCATAAAAACATCTTTAAACCTACTGATGGTATGAGCAAAGATTTAACCATATTAATAGATAATCTTTGATACAATATTTATATATAAAATAAATAATTAAATATTCAAAATTGAAATACTTCAAAAGTTAGAACTTGAAACAGCAATTAATTATATAATAAATTATATAATTACATGTATTTCTTCACTTTATCAAAAAATAAACAATTGGTAATTGTAAAGAAAAAGAAATATTTTAAATTAATGATTTGTATATTCTTAAGATATTACTTGCATTCTTTTTTAAAATAAATCTTTAAATTCTTTACAGGCCTTCCATCTGATCCAGCACAGGTTCAACAACCAATTTTAGTTTGCACAGCACACATTCATTGGGATCCAGAATTCTGCGATGTAAAATTAATACAAACAATGATGCTCAGCAATGAATTACGTTCCATTTTGGACCAAGCTGGTCAGTCTTTTAGGCCTGGCCATAAACCTGATTCTTCCAATGTTCAGTTATTACTTTGTGGTGACTTCAATTCCCTGCCTGATTCTGGTAATGATATACACATTTTGCTTCTTATTTTTATGCATGAACTTTATTACTACAATACTTAGTACTTAGCTTTTATATTTGTCTGTTTATAACAGTTTTAATAAGTAAGTATATTGATGAATTTCTTATGCTTGTATTTATTCTTATCTAGGTGTAATTGAATTTCTTACATCGGGACGAGTAGCGGCCGATCACCGCGATTTTAAAGACTTAGCTTATAAATCATGCTTACAAAAGATCTCTGGTTGCGATAAACCTAATGAATTTACTCATTCTTTTAAACTTGCATCTGCATATAGTGAAGACATCATGCCCTATACTAACTATACGTAAGTAAAATTTGTTTAGTAGTTCACTAATATTTCAGATGAATAGGCAAATTTCTATTATTGTATGCTTTCTTACAGATTCGAATTTAAAGGTATAATAGACTACATTTTCTATTCGAAACAAAGTATGGTACCGTTAGGGCTTCTGGGTCCTCTAAGTGCAGATTGGTTTAGAGAACATAAAGTGGTTGGTTGTCCACATCCACATGTTCCATCTGGTGAGTCAAGTTTTATTCAAGTTTTATTCTTAATTATGCAGAATGAAGAGAAAATTAATTATTTTTGTTTTAGATCACTTTCCTCTGTTAGTGGAGCTTGAAATGACACCAACAGTAGGAACAAGCAATGGACTGATCTCACGCAGGTAGCAGCTGCTGCGATCTAGGCCCAAGTAACTATAAGGGAATTATAAATGATAATAAAAATGAAATCCCCATCACATTTTCTCTTACTTCTGGCTCTAGCAATATCACTCGCAGTCGACAACTATTTCAATAGCAAATGTTATAAATACTCCATATTACCGCACATTCAACAAAAGCTATCAGATATCGATGAATAATTCTAATGACCAGGTGAAGGGAGCTGTGTTGTAATGCGTTTAGCCCATGTATAGTGTATTGCATTTTTAAGAATTAACTTTCCCCATATTAAGAGTATTTTAACCTCTACTACCATCGTAATATGTAGATACCTATTTTCCTACAAAAAAAAGATATTCCGATCAAGCCTCTGTGATATTGACATTAACAATTGGAACAACTTCACATATTTATCAACAAATTAGTGTCTACTAGAGAAATCCTAATCTCTTCCTAAATGTCATTACAACATTCTCCAAGCCAACTTTTTGATAAGAATGCTGCCATCCAACGAGAAAATTGTATTTTTAAACAAAACAAAAACAAAAAATACGAAAACATACACGCTATACTGGGCTGTGCGAAGTGATTGGAGTTGACTTAACAATTTCAATGCAAGTACAAATCTGTTCTTATTGGCCACGTATATTGATAATGATAATGTTATATAAGGAAATAGATGATATTGTAGCGAGTGTATTTGTAAGTATGGTAATGTAATGATATTCATCATTCATAGTATCCTGAAAATCAGTGGACATTCACTCATTAAATGTTCAGTTCCAATTTATTAATATATACCATACTAATTCACTACTTGTTAATTCAGTTGAATTCAATTTGTACATGCTGCAGTATTCGTTTCACGTTTATCCTTATTTCCGTCGTGTACTTATTTTTCAATTGCATATACGTTTATGTCAATGTGTTTTGTTTCGTTCTTCTTTTAGGTTTCTATTTCACAAACCTTCATTAAAATAATATCCCACTATTATGTTTAACTCGTAATAAAACTTTGCACAATAAATATAATTTAATCTGAAAATTTCAGGAAAATAAATGGGTTTGTTTTCTATAGAAATTTGATATGTCAGAATAATATACATGTAGCAATATTTAAATATTTTATAAATACTTTATTAGATTTTTTTAATTGTAGAAAGTTACAGTTGTTGCTTTTCCACATTTGCATTGCTTATCACACTATGTAATAATTAAATACAGGAATGTATATTTCCAAATTTTCTTATATCTTTATTATTTTTTTATTGGAATTAGCTTGCTTTCATATATTAAGTAAGTTTTTATTCCTTATTTCATTAAATACAAAGCAAAGCATGTATATGAACAAAGATGTTTCAATATCATAAATTGTAAAGAATATGCTTGAACATGCCTGATTTCCCTTGAACATTTGGAATAGATGAAACAGTGTTCCTAAACATATTTCAAACAAAACGGCACTACCGATACATTGCATAACATTCATTGTACATAATAAATGTGATAAGTGTAAAATGGGCTTGTATTCTACTCATATTTGACAAAAAGTAACAACTGAATTATACAAGTAGTATACAATTAGTTGATCAAAGACATGTGTGTAGTAAATGTTGTATAAAGTAGATAATTACAATATAGTTTTAATTAATGGAGGTAGAAGTGGCAATCCCTACTTGTATATGCATTCATTAACAAACACGTGGTAAGCGAACAATACATACATACAATGTACTAAAACAGTTACTCGTGAATCTAGGCCTACATTAAAGTTTAACATCATCATTTGTATATTATTTAGACAATTTGAAATTTCAGTTTTCTATCACGATCTATGTTAAGGTATATAATTACGAAATGCTAATGTTTTATAAGACAAAACTTTTTCGACGGTTATATTGGTGTTGGCTACTCCTAAATATGTATACTTTCTTTGATTCGTTAACATAGAACTGAAATTCAATTATACATACGGCAGTTATTTGTCAAATAATACGAAATTTTTTATGATCAAATAAAATTTTAAATGACTACTGACATTTAAGTAGCATTAAATGTTGAATCGCCGTTTGAAACTTTTTGTCCTAAAAATACCTATGCTTTCTCCCATTAAAAGTGTTAACGTTATTTTATCATATCACGGTATCGGATTTGAACAAAAGTTTTGTACATAACGATAACGTTTTATTTGAAAAAAAAAAAAACCTACTTTGATATTCTCGGCATACGATATAAATGGCACTGACGCATAAAAACGGGTTGTATTGAAAATAGTACTGTTAAAGCATAGCATTTAACTACGTAGGTATTTTTTTATGGTGTTTGTATACAACGTTTTAATTATATTTCATCAGCAAAATATAACTGCTTATAAATTTAATTATAATTTGAATATTTTAAGTAGGCAACTATAATTTCAGGATATATACAATTGTATTTTATTTTTCAAATGTTACTGGGCAATGAACGTTTGATTAATTTTCACTTAAATTAAATCGATACGATTTATTTAAAGTGTCAATGAAGCAAACATGGAATGTTTAATACATCTTGTTTAATTTAGTACGAAAGCTATAGATCGCATACATTTTTCATGCATTTTGGCTGTACGAGCCTATGCCATAGTATTCAAGTTAGCTTTGAAAAAAAAAAATAGAAACTCGAGAAGATTTATGATTAATATAATACTTTAACTTAGATTTTACACGTGTACCCTATTTTAAGTACAGTGGTTCTCAACAGAAATATTTTCTTATTGAAATAAATGTATTCGTTTCAACAAAAATTTTCAAATCACATGTAAATTATTTGACTCATTAACTGAACTACAAATGCAATATAATTATCAGTCACAATACTATATAATTAAAATTAATATTTGTTTTATTTGAGGACCACTGTTCCTCAATGTAGAAATACTACTTTTGCTAATATGAATTCATATAAACGCTAATGCAAAATACATTGTAAAAAGCATAATTGAATCATTTTTTATCTTAAGGATAACGTGATTTTTTTTTACAAAATATATATAGTAATACTTTTAGAAGGATCTTCTACTGTAATAAACATTTTTCTATACGGTTCGATGAATTCTTATAAAAATTTGACTGTTCACGTTCATTTGCATAGTTAATTGTAATAAATTGTAAATTACATTAATACTGTTGTTTTAAATGTTATATAGGTATATCATTTTACATATTGCTTCATTGTTCAAATTTTTTAAATATTTTAAATGGTAAAAGAATCATAACTATATAATTTACTGATAACATACATATTCTCGAAATTGTAAAAAAACAAGCTTAACTGATTATCGTTTAGTCAGATACAACAGTATTAACATACTTAACAAATGTGATAGAAAGGAATCCATAATATTAAAGACAAAGACGGTTTAATTTTTTAGTATCATTTATCAACATTTTATTTTATCACAAAAAGGATATTAATTTCAGATTTGTGTTACTCTTCTTGAAAAAAAAAAAATAATGTACCACTCTAGTCAACTAGTGCTATATCATAAAATTAGACTATTACAGGCCTTGATTATTTTATTCTATTTATATTTATATAATGTAATCAGAAAAAATGAAAATAACTTAGAAAATGAAATGATTATGCAAGTATGACAATAAATGAAGTATTTAGATAGAATAAAAGAATTACTTAAATAAACATTTACTTTATAACGAATAAATATTAGTTCTCCAAGTTTTGTACCTAATAAATAATGCCAATTCATTTTAATTCATTCATGTGATGTACATTCATGCAAATTTTGTTCATATTAATGCGGTAGATTTTCGGTAAAAATGTATTCCTGTAGTAATAAATTTGAAACAATAATTAAAAATTAGTTTACAAACACGTATTGTAAAATGTTACTTTATTTGTATATTAATTATAACACTTGTTAGATGAAGACTCATTCCATATTTATAGAGGTAAAATAATCTGTTGACAATTTTATTTTAAAATATTGTTCTTTTAATTTTGTAAACATCTGTATATAAATAAATTAATTCAAATTTCATATGATTTTAACAAAGAACTTTGTCACAAATAACTTATTCTAAACATTTCGTGAATTTTGCCAAATTTTATAATAAGAACAAATAAAAATATCTCAAGTAATTACTATGCACACATCTAGGATTAACGAACAAAAATATCGAACAACATAATGTTATAAAATGATTACAATATAAGAATTCATCGAACTGATGTAATTATCATTTTAACTGGGGATTTCAAAATGCCCTGCCTACACACTTAATTCTGTGTCATTAAGTTAATAAATCTCTTCAAAGAGCAATTCAAATTCTAAAGAATGTTTAAGTATCTCTAAAACTCTGGAATTACACATCACTTTCAGATTTTTAATCTTCTGAACTCTTTCAACCGATAAAAAATTCAATTCTAGATTAGTCAATAATAGACAGATATTTTTATGTGGTGAGACATTTTAACTGTCCTGTATAATGTTCTGTTTGAAATGTTCTGTACATTAATAATTTGGTTGATGAGATACGTAGTTGATACCTCTACTTTTCTGTACTTTGTAATTTTGGGCATACCACGTAATTTAAGGGTATAACGTATATATGTATAAATACAAAATGACACTATACACGCAATGTTAATAGAATAATATTGTTTTTTAAATGGAGGAAGACAATTTAATGATGAGACACATAGTTTTCAAATTACTATGCTGTAATAGTATTTAATGGCTATAATTTATGTATCAGAGTATAAATATATAAATATATATTTATAAATATATATATATATCATATTTAAAAGTGTATTTGGAGATAGCAATTATGTTGTGTATTGACAACAAGTGACACCAAATTTTTTTAATATTTTAGCAAATATATACATACATATATATAAAACTTTATTTTGTTCATAAACTTTATTTTGTTTAGTTTCTTGCAAGTGATATTAGAATTTCTATTAATATTTTGGTATATTAACCAAGTATTTAATAACTAATCATTTTGATTGTAAAATATGCGTAGTACAATTATATAGAAGAATCACAGTTTTCAATATATAGTCATTTTTACATATTATGTTTTTGTTTTTACAAATAATCCTATTACATTAAGTAGAGAATAATATAATTAATTAACAGTAATACACGATATATCGTTTGTTTAATACAAACCCAAAGATAATTTCATGAAAATTATATTCTAACTGTTTTCTCTTACTGCCTCATTATACATGTGATTTATTTACTTCAACAAAGTGCAATGCACAAGCAATCTTAATTGTGTTCTATGTGATATTGCGTGATAGTGTCGATTTTTGACTTCCATAAATAAAAATATAATTATATACTAGAATAAAATAAGACGAGCACAGCACATTTCAGCCTGTACTTTTGTAAGAACATGATAAAAAGTTATAAACATCAGAATATAATTCTTGCGTCCGTCATAAGATTAATTACATCTCAATGTTAATGATGTAAATTCAATCAGATTTCGTGTATGCTTTTGGAAATCTTTTATTTGATTTATTGGAAATGTTGGAATCACGGTTTATTTCATTAAAAGTAGAAACTATAATTTTTTCAAGAAATTGACAAAACAAAATTCTTTTGAAATTGATAAAATACTTGTAATAGTATATAATGTTTCTTGAACATCTTACAAATTTATACAGAAAATTGTACATTAATTATTGCGATTTCGAACTTTTATATATTATCAATTAATGCCAAGTAGGATATGTTCCATTTTTCTGATTTAACTAATTGTCAATGATTCCTCATTACCATATATCCATATAAATACTCAAAGATTCATTGAAAGTACAAATAGGTAGCAACACGGTCCTGATTGAATATTGGAAAAAAAAGAGTTGTAAGGACAATGAAGGAGAGAATGTGTCTAGTAGAATATAAACAAATGTTTGAATGCTCTGTCAGTCTGCACTTAAACACCTTTTATTTAGAAATTCATCTTACAGTGACATGAAATTTAGTTTTTATTGAAAATGCAATGATTGTATATGGGCTGCGTTTGAGTCATGATTGAATGTAACAGTTTATTAACTAACGTGAAATAAATTAAAAATATTGAAAAAATTAATTAAATGAATACTTATTGTTGTACAAAATGAAACCAATTAAATTTTGTTGCCTCCATAAGGAATAATTTGCACAATTTATTATACGTACATATATATACATTTTGTTCAAGGATCAAGGCAGTTTTAAAACTACACTAATACTAAAAAATTTGTACAAGTTAAAATAAATTGTTAATTATATATTTGTTTCTTATAACTTATATTACTTTATATATAACATCTTCTTTCATTTCTGTAGTAACTATTTCTAGTTTCACTGGACAGTGTAACCAATAACTTAAAAGTTGTTCAGTATAGCCTATTAAAAAGTATGCCCTCATAGGATTTATCTTACGCAACATAATACCAGATATTCTAATAATGTTATGTTGTCGTTTAATAATTATTTCACTTGCGAACAAAGAATGAAAAGTACCTTGCATAAAGTTTCGAATAAACATATCTTCTATTACTGTTTCAGCTGGTCTGTTACCATCTTTTAAGTTTGCTAGAAAAACAAATTATTTGCACTTAGATAATAGAAGCAAATATGTAATATCTTAGCAACATGTTAACGCATAGAATTCATACAGGTATTCCAAGTATTCCAAGATTTTCTAGCAGCAATCTGATATGGAGGATTTGCCATTTCATATGTTAGCGGCTGTCTGATCCTTGCTTTAGGTCTATAATGTCCAGATTGTGTTTTACTAAGTACTGTACTAATATGTAAACATCTTTTTGTAATGGCATTTTGATTAATTAGTATCTGAAAATGAAGTAGAATTTTTATTTTTAAATAAGGTTATATTCTGAATAATTTTTATTTAATACTTACATTTATAGGGCGTATACAGGAAATTAAACTCATTTCTGTAGTATTTTATGCAATAAAGATACCTAAACTGTATTATTAATAATAAATTATTAACGTGCTGATCAACAAAGTTGAACTAGTGTTACATGGCAGAAGCACCAAACTATAGGAATAAAATTGTAGGTAACTTTATACTAGGGGTTACTAGAATGTGGAAGTAGTTCATATGTTCTACAGCTAAGTGGAGCCACGCGTATCTTTTCGGTCAGTATGTGAAAAAATGTGAATTTTCAAAAAACCAAACTTAACCAAGGCAAATAAAATTAATATTTATGTAAAAAAATATCTTCTGCAGCTATTCTAGTTATATTATAATATCTTTCATGTTTGTAAAGGTCAGAATAGGAACATGACGACATTTCGAAGCTTCCCTACATTTCATTTACCGACCGCGGTAATTTCAGGATATTACCGACTGTTGGTCATTCTATTTATCCAAACGACGTCATCGATGACGTCATGAATGTTGTTTATGGCGCGAAATATGAAGTAAACTACTCACGAGGTACATCAATGAAAGTAAAAAATTTATTTTTGCAAACGAATTGATCATAACGCACAGTAGCATCAATATTACAACTAAGTTTACCATTGTTCACCTATTTTGTTTTAAAATCAACCATAAAAAAAATTGTTGAGACTTTTATTTGCAAGTTTCAATAAATCCTGTAAAGAAGAATGTACAGTGAGTGTAAATTTAATAATCAACTAATTTTATATTCTGCAACAGTTTTTAATTCGGTTTTCAAATTTTTATTTGTGTATACAGTCAGATTTTTTTTCATCGATTAATAAAAAATAAGTCTTAATTTTCTTAACAAAACAAGTCTAACTGGTTGTATAGATAAATGGTTTGTTCAAACTCGAAGATGGTGAATGAATTGTGATCAATATTATCCTGTTACTAAAATAAATCAAAGCACAGATGCACAATGCATATATTTCACCTAATAGACAGCTGTGCTCACGGTTACAGCTGTTACATGTACTATTATAACGGTTGAACAATTGAAAGTCGATGTTACGTTAATAGGCTTGTATTTCTAATTCAAAGCAATTAGAGGTGTACTATTATGTAGTGGCTAGTGGAGTTATAGTTTCACTTTCGTAGCCGGTGATTCTAATGAAAACAAAACTGAAAGTTTCACTGCTTTGTAATTAATTGTGAAACACGTATCCTTAAGTCGGTTTTAAATTCTTAAGTTTTAGTAATTTCATTTTGCAATTATTTTGAGAATATTTAGGTGTATATACGTTCAAGTATTTGATGGAATTATTTATCATGGGTAAGAGCGTTTAAAATGGCCGATTCAGGTGTACGCGTAATGGCGCCCTAAAGAAACATGGTGGCCGTTGTAACCCTTAATGCTATAAATATTGTTTATAGACTTTTTCAGATAAAAAGTTGTATAGTTACATTATTTTTATGACCTCCGTAATGTTTATTGTGTTATTATATAAACATATATGTGCTATATGTTATTATTTTATTATTTATAATAGTCAACTACGTCTCTACTTGGTTCATAAGTTAACAATATTTAAAAGTTTTCGAAAATTGATACTTTTGAAAGTAATAACAGTTTATAGTGGACGATCTGTGTAAAAGTTAAGATGGTTATCATAAACACACTTTAATATGAAGTTTATTTAAAAGTTTAGCGGGATGTAATTTTCTTTCATTTAGGGTGGATTAAACTGCACTTAACTTCCTGTAGGGGGAGCAAGTGTACTTTGTGAAGCTGCTTGTTACGATGATGTACAAAATATTTATTTCCTGTTTATTATATGCTGGTAGGGTTATTTACTTGTTTTATGTCGAAAATGATCCTAATTTGTTAAACTTCTCAAAGTCTAAAATTTTGAAATTGTCGAGTTTCTCAAAGTTGATTTTTAATTATTCCAATTTCTTGATTTTCGAAGTGTTTTAATTTGCAAATTGTTTAATTACAAAATTTCTTCACTGTTTTTTAGAAATATTCTTGTTTTTAAATTCTTACGTTCTCAAATTTTGAAATTCTGATTGTCTCAAATTTCTCAAATTCTAGAATTCACAAGTTCTGAGATATTTTTTTTTTCATTTATTTGTTTAAAGTCGCATCAAGCACTCAAAGGTTATTAGCGACTTTGAGATATTGAATTCCTAGATTTGTAAATATTGGAACTTCACAATCTCCAAATTTGTAAATATTGGAACTTCACAATCTCCAAATTTGGAAATTTGGAACTTCTTAAATTCACCGATTTCTAAATATTTAAATTCCCAAATTACAAGATGTCTAAACACCAAAATTTCGAATCCCTAAATTGCTAGATTCCGAAATATTCAAATCCTCAAATTTCTCACTCACTAAGTCCTTAGATTTCCAACTTCATAAATCTCAAATCCCCACATCCTGATATTCCTAGATCCTCAAATCCCTACATCATCAAATGTCCCTAGATTTCCTAATCCATCATCAAAATTCTAAGGTCTCTAAATTCCTACACCATCAAAAATCCCTAGATTTTCTTATCGGTAAACCATCAAATCTTAAGACTCCCAAATTCCTACACCACCAAAAATCCCTAGACTCCCCTATATCATCAAGTCGAAATGACCCAATTTTTATCAAATTCCCAAAATTTCCCAAAAGTCAACAAGTTTCTATTTACTTTCTCTTCGACAATCCCCATATTTTCCCTAGAAATACCAGATTCACTATACTTCGTCAATACCCCAGCTCCATACTAACAATACAATGTTCCTTTTCAAAAACCACATCAAAATTATGATACTTATTTATTTCCCAAACAAGAAAAATTATCAAAAAAACAATGCCCTCACTCAAATCCTGCTTTCAAGTGCAAATTCATCGGCATCGTAACTTTTCGAACTTGCTTATCGAGATACAAGTACCTTAACACTAAACCTACCAAACCGGTCAGAATGAACGTTTAACAAGTTTCTTATTTTAAGTTACAACGTTTGTCAAGGTTGTATTCTTGAAATTCTTAGATGGACCTCGTAGATCTTTGCCCAAATTTTTATCAAACTCTTCTATCATTTTTATGTGCATTTTTCTTGTATACTATCGAACCTATTGTTTTAGGTAACTGCTCTTTAGGTTTTTCAACATTTTTCATAAGTAAATTCACAAGTAATTTACGCAAAATTTGTGCAAAATTTTTCAAAACTAATTGACAAAATGGCAAGCGACAAAGTTTACAAGATGTCAATCAATCACATGTCAATCATGTCACAAGGGTGAACGTTGCTGTAGAAGTGTGAAAATTCCCCAAAATACCCTCTTATGAAATACTAGACTTATAAACAAATAACTCCGTCAGATTATAATAGTGCAGTTAGTACATAATAAATACATACAAGTTTATTTATGCGAATACTGACTTAACCTCAACCTACAAATATAACAGTGCGTCATAGGTAGCTAATCCTTGATACAAAACTAAAAATAAGACAACTAAAGAAAATGAAAATGTAGGACACATTTTACATCCAGATCCTTGATAACTTATCAAGGTGATCTTGATAACTTATCACAATTAGTACAAAATGCAATATACAATTGTAATGAAAATACGAGTCTAAACAACATTCGAGCTGCTGTGTGCGTCAGGGAGCGTCGTTGCAAAGCAATTTCCAGACAATTACTGTTAATTCTATTTAAAAAATGTTCATAAACCGAAGGAGAAAAATTAACCAGTCCCTTCGATTTTTAATTTTGAAGCAAGCAGTAAAACAAAAACTACCATTGTAAAAATACATTGGAAGTACAGTGTGCGTCACAGTGGAGGTGCGTCACGAGTGGACGCAATATTACAGGTCAATTTCAGACAATTAATTCTATTACAAAATTCTCGAAAATTGAGGGGGACAGAAATAGTAACCGGTTCCTTCGATTTTTAATTTTGAAGTGAGCATTAAAGCCAGTTGCAGTGAAATTACATTGGAGGTGCAGTGTACGTCACGAGTGGATGCAATATCACAGGTCAATTTCAGGTAAATAATTCTATTGAAAAATTGCATGGAAATTGAGGGACACAGAGGAAAATCAAGCTGTCCCTTCGATTTTTAATTTTGAAGTTAGCAATAAAATATAAACTAGCAAGGTAGCATTGTAGGTGCACTGTGCGTCACAGCATAGGTGCGTCACGAGTGGAGGTGCGTCACAAGTGGGACACCACAGAGTAAGGCAGTTTCCTGGCAATTAATTCTACACACAGGAAAATCAAGCTGTCCCTTCGATTTTTAATTTTGAAGTTAGCAATAAAATATAAACTAGCCAGGAAAATACATTGTAGGTGCACTGTGCGTCACAGTAGACCCTATACCATAGCTCAATTTCCGTGCAATTAATTCCATTTAAAAAATACCCGGAATCCAAGGGAGGAAAATCAAGCCCTCCCTTCGATTTTTAATTTTGAAGCATTAAAACAAAACCCAGCAATGAAAATAAATTGTAGGAGCACTGTGCGTCACGACATAGGTGCGTCACGAGTGGACATCACACAGTAAGGAAATTCCCTGGCAATTAATTCTACAGAAAAATATCATGAAATTGAGGGACACGGAAAAAAATCAAGCTGTCCCTTCGATTTTTAATTTTGAAGCATTAAAACAAAACCCAGCAAAATAAATTGTAGATGCACTGTGCGTCACCACGCAAGGCAATTCCCATGCAATTACCCTTAATTCCCTGGAAACGTCCAGAAACCTCGGGGCAAGTTCATTCGATTTTTAATTTGGAAGTAAGTATTATGCAAGGGTAGTTTCGAGGGTAATAAGGCATTCAAAAATGGACGTTTAGGTCTGAACAATCGCAGGCTCGGATTGTTGGCGCGGGATGAAAGGAAAAGGGCGGCGGGGGTCGGAGCTGGAAGGGAGAGCCATCGAGCGACGGAGGGGCAAGCGCTATGGTGGGGAGAATCGGAGGGCAAATGGAAAGTCTGACCCGCTGGCAGTCTCGTTGATCCAGCCACGGGTAGTATGCACCGTGACGTGACAATGGCGGTACTTGTAATTGCGGAACGGTGCGTTATTGTGATCAGCTGATCGACCGAGCTCGACAGAACGAGGGTGCGGAGGGTGGTCCTGTTATAAGACCGCGGTCAGATAAGGGAGTCTATTTGAATAAAGTCGATTTACAAAAATAGGGAAATTTTTGTTCGCGTTTTTCCGAAAAATAAAATGTCCTCGTGATCCCGTCGGTGCTATCTGTGTGAATTATAGTGTTTGCCATTATCGCGGCTGTGTTGTGTGCACGTATGCGTGGGATTCGGGCGACAGATTAAATGTGTGTTAGCCATGCCCGCCGTGCGGAAATACAGAAGGGATACCAGTGAAGTGAGCTGCTGTCTCAAGTATGTGATCTTTGGATTTAATGTCATGTTTTGGGTGAGTGGTCACACGCTTCTTGTACAATTTACTACTCCTTCATTTAACCCTCCACTGTAACCTTGAAACGGCGGGGACCAGTGCGGTAGATTCGAAATTTTATTTCTACCTGTGGAGCTGTGATAGCCTTCTGTCATAAAATAATTGTTATAGGAGACTCGTGGAGGGTTAATTGGATGTAAATATTAAGGATAAACACTGGTGAAACTTTGAGACTAACCGTAGGATTGCAATGTGTACAGAGTTGGACAGGATTAATATAATTAATCTTTAATTATAACACTGTTTATAACTCTTTTTAAATTTATGAAATGTATATAAAGGTTACTACGAAAAGAAAAATGTGGATAGTAATGTTTATTTTTATCATCAAATATCTTGATATTTGATGTGAAGTTTGATGTGAATATGAATTTTTATAAATATCTTGGCTGACATAAGTTTAATGAGAATATGAATTTTTATAAATATCTTGGCTGACATAAGTTTGATGAGAATATGAATTTTTATAAATATCTTGGTTGACATAAGTTTGATGAGAATATGAATTTTTTTAAGTATCTTGGTTGACATAAGTTTGGTGAGAATATGAATTTTTATAAATATCTTGGTTGACATAAGTTTGATATGAATACGAATTTTTACAAGTATCTTGGTTGACATAAGATTGATGAGAATACGAATTTTTACAAATATTTTGGCTGACATAAGTTTGATGAGAATACGAATTTTTACAAGTATCTTGACTGACATAAGTTTGATGAGAATATGAATTTTTATAAATATCTTGGTTGACATAAGTTTGATATGAATATGAATTTTTATAAATATCTTGGTTGACATAAGCTTGATGAGAATATGAATTTTTAAAAGTATCTTGGTTGACATAAGTTTGATAAGAACATGAATTTTTTATAAGATTTGAATGTGGTTTAATATTGCAATAGGAATCTAGGGATCTAGAGATATAGGAAATTTGAGATGTGGGAGTATAGGCTACGAGGATTTGGGGATATCTGATATGAGGATATAGGGATTCGGGAACACAGCCATTTGGAGATATGGGTATCTACGGAAATGGCAATTTAAGGTCATAGAGATAGAGTGACACAAGGATCAAGAGGAATAGCGAGTTAAGATCGCTGAGATCGGGAAGACATAAGGATTTAGGGATATAGGGATCTAGGGATATAGATATATCAAAGGATGTGGAACCTAGGAATCTTGAATTTGAGGATTTGAATTTATGGGGACTTGGGAATCTAGGAATCTATGAGGCTATGATTCTGGAGATTTAGTGGATGTGTGGATTTAGGTTTGGATATTTAGTGAATCTGAAAATTTAGGAACTTGGAGATCCAGAATTTATGAATCTAGTAATCTCGTAATCTGGAAATGTAGTAAGTCGGCTATCTAGAAATTTAGAAATGAAAAAAATCAAGAGATCAAAAGATCCATCAATTAAAAAATAAAAAAATTTAAAAACCTGAACATCAAAAGATCAAAGATGAAAAGATTGAAAGAACAAAAGATTAAAAAATCAAAAGATCAAAAGACCACAAAATTAAAAACTCAAAAAATTGAAAAATCAAAAGATCAAAAGATCAAAAGAACGAAAGCTCAAAGAATGAAAAGATTAAAAGACCACAAAATTAAAAAAATTAAAAGATTTCAAAATATAGAAATCAAAGAATTTATAAATATAGAAATTTAAGAACTCAGAAATTTAGGAACCTAATCTTAATTTAAGAATTTAGAAGTCCAAGAAAACCAAGAAACCTAGTAATTTAGATGTCAAGAGTTCTTGAAACTGAGGAATATAGGGATTTATGAGCCCAGAGATTACAAAACCTAGAAATCTAGGGATTTAGGGATTCTGGAATCTAGAGACTTAGTTCTATAAAGTTTCACATCTAAAAATCGGAAGATCTAAAAATCAAGGAATGTAGGAACCTATGTATTTCGAAACCTATGAATCTAGGGATTTAGGTATCTAGGGATACAGGGTCCTAGGAATTTAGATATGTAGAGATACAGGATCCTAGGGATATAGGTATGTATAAATCTAGAAATCAACATATCTATGAATATACAGATCTACAAAATATATAGATTAAAAACATGTAGGGACTTGGAAATCTAAAAATCTAGGGATAACTATAACAGTCTACCTACTGAAAAGGATCCTAGGGATTTAGGAATTTATAAAGTTTGATATCTATATATCTATAAATCTAGAAATCCACAAATGTATAAATTTAGAAATCCGGAAATCTAGGGACCTGGAAATCTAAAAATCTAGGGATAACTATAACAGTCTGCCTACTAAAAGAGGTCCTAGGGATTTAGGAATTTATAAATCTTGAAATCTATACATCTATAAATCTATAAATCTAAGAATGTATAAATTTAGAAATCCGGAAATCTAGGGACCTGGAAATCTAAAAATATAGGGATAACTATAACAGTCTGCCTACTAAAAGAGGTCCTAGGGATTTAGGAATTTATAAATCTTGAAATCTATACATCTATAAATCTAGAAATCTAAGAATGTATAAATTTAGCAATCCAGAAATCTAGGGACCTGGAAATCTAAGAATCTAGGGATAACTATAACAGTCAACCTACTAAAAAAGTTCCTAGGGATTTAGGTATCTATAAATCTAAAGATCTAAAACTGTATAAATTAAAAAATATACAAAATCTAGGAACCTAGAAATCTAAAAATCTAGGAATAACCATAACTATCAACCTAACCTAACCCAACCTACTAAAATTCAACAAAAAATGAATTGAACTCCATTTTGAAATTAATTCATACACGATTGCTTTTTTTTATTGCCACGGAAACGTGCACAGTGGAGTTTATTATTTTTGCTATTTCTCAATTGTTCTTTTCATTTCTGTTAAACATTTAAAATAAAATTTCCTCGTAAACAATCGACCGAATACAATACAGTCTCGCAATACTTTTTAGTGTCAACAAAATTCGAATAATATTTTTTTTTTGCACAAACATATATTGCTTCAATAATCTCACGCACAGAATTTCGTGTTCATGTTTTTAATAATTCTTTTAGTATTTACCGTGATAAATAAAAATTCGCTTAAAATTTAATCCTGGAATCAAGGGATTATACTGCAGGATGTTATTGAAATATCCGAGTGTAACAGAATGTAGTTTTATTTAAGGTACAGTATTATATCTGCATGAAATTTTAATCGAGTTACTGAATGTAATTTTAAAATTTTAGGAAATTTTGATTGCTGGATTTTGTTTTTTTATGGATATTTTTATATTGAATTTTTTTATTTGATAACTGAGATTAAACGTTTTGTAAAATATCTTTTATTGTTTTTTATAGTCTAACAGTTTTTTTATTAAAATTTAGTTTCAAATTTAATATTATTTATAATCTTTTTATTATACTAACTTTATTGTTTTTTATAGTCTAATATTTTTTTATAAAAATTTGTTTAGCAATAAAAATTATCGCAGCACAAAAATAGAACTCAGAATGGTTTCAAATTTAATATTTTATATTAATGTAAATAATTTATTAAATTAAACCTAAAGAGTCAAATTTGTTAATGATTTAATTGCAAATTTTACTGCTTTCATGTATATTATTAATTTGTATGTCCACATTAAAATAAATTTAAATTTTTAGAAACAAAGTTGTAAAAGTTACTTAAATACAAATCTCACCTTCTCAACGTTTTTACAATTATAATTCAACAATTTGTATTAGAATAAAGTTCAGAGCTCAAATTCCTAGCTTAGCATTTAAATTCTTTAATTACTAAATACAAGCTTTGCATTTAAATTCCCTAAATATGTAAATAGAATTTCATGCTGCAGAATGAAATCCACAAACTTGTATTAGAATAAAATTTCAGCATTTATATTCCTCAACTATGCAAATACGTGCTGGACGCTTCTATGGTTCTGGGTTATCAATTTATGGTTCGGTTAAAATTTGGGCAAAGTATAATTTTGTTCATAAACTTTTGGGTTTTTAAATTTGGTAATTTTGAATTATTTAGTAATTGTTAAATGTAAATTGAATTCAATTATTTACAATTTTACAATTTTACAATTTTACAATTTTACTATTTCACTATTTCACTATTTTACTATTTCACAACTTTACAATTTTTAAATTTTACAACTTTACAATTTTACTATTTCACTATTTCAATATTTCACTATTTCACTATTTTACTATTTTACAACTTTACAATTTAACAATTTTACAACTTTACAACTTTACAATTTTACAACATTACAATTTTACAATTTTACTATTTCACTATTTCACTATTTCACTATTTCACTATTTTACTATTTTACTGTTTCACAACTTTACAATTTTTCTATTTCACTATTTCAATATTTCACTATTTCACTATTTCACTATTTCACTATTTTACTATTTTACAACTTTACAATTTAACAATTTTACAACTTTACAACTTTACAATTTTACAACATTACAATTTTACAACATTACAATTTTACAACATTACAATTTTACAATTTTACTATTTCACTATTTCACTATTTCATTATTTCACTATTTTACTATTTTACTATTTTACAATTTAACAATTTTACAACTTTACAACTTTACAATTTTATAAATTTAAATTAATAAATTTTACAATGTTATAATGATACAATTTTGCAAATTTAAATTAATAATTTTTGTTAATTTACAATGTTACAATTTTATAATTTTATAAATTTAAATTAATAAACTTTGCATGTTTACAAGTTTATAGTGTTACAATTTTAGAAATTTAAATTTTACCATGTTATAATGTTACAATTTTGCAAATTTACAAACTTACAATGTTACAATTGTAGAAATTACAATTTTACAATGTTATAATGTTACAATGTTACAATTTTAAATTAAAACATTTTAAAAATTTCGCAAACTTCTATCTAAAAATATAAATCGCAAAATGAGTCACTCGTTTTATAATTGTTATTTTAGTATCGTTTTCCTGGAGGCTTCGTTTTCCTTCACGAGCGAACGCGTTAATTAAAAATATACAAATTCTGCGACTCGCCTACGCCGCCATATTAAAATATTCGCCAGGGAAAATTTTTGCCAATATTTATAATTCGTTTGACGTTGTTCGAGCGAGGGAACACGACGCAATTAATTCAATTTGTGATTCCGTGTGACTGCAGTATACTTTTGTGAGGAACACCACGAATGACCCGTATGCAGCTCGTGTATGCCGGCAAGTGTTTCAATTACTATAACCACGATGCGGACCGTGCATGTCATGGTCTGTGTACCCCATGACGATACACACAGGGAATACCGAGTCAAAAAGCATGCAAATCGTTAAACTCTTCGTTCTGCGAATCGCAAAATCCGCGTTTTTCACATTCTTTTTTTTCCGTTTTTGAATGTTGCTTTTAACAATCGGGGTACTGTATAGAGATATACAGCGACCATATCTGTTATACTTCCATTTTTATTTTCAATACCGTTTTGAATGACTTTGTTTAATAACTTTTAGTGAACTGGGCACTCTTATGTGAAAATAAAAAATTGGTTTAATGAAAATGAAAATATTTTGTGTGAGAACAAAATAAATATTTTTAAGTGAAATATGCAAGAATGACTTTTATTAAATATTTCCCTGAAGTAGTAAATAAAAATGTTTAAGTAAAATAAACAAAAATAATTTGAACTTATTACTTCTTTAAGTAATAAATAAATATTTTTAAGTGAGCTATACAAAACAATTTTAACTAAATATTTTCTTGAAGTCATAAATAATTATTTTTAAGTAAACTATACAAAAATATTTTTATCTAAATATTTCCCTTAAGTAATAAATAAATATTTTAAAGTAAAATATATAAAAATAATTTTAACTAAATATTACCCTTAAGTAATGAATAAATGATTTTAAGTAAAATGTACAAGAATAATTTTTACTAAATATTTGCCTCAAGTAATAAATAAATATTTTTAAGTAAACTATACAGAAATAATTTTAACTAAATATTTCCTCAAGTAATAAATAATTATTTTTATGTAAAATATACAAAAATAATTTTAACTAAATATTATTCTCAAGTAATAAATAAATAATTTTAAGTAAAATGTACAAAAATAATTTTAACTAAATATTTCCTCAAGTAATAAATAAATAATTTTAAGTAAAATGTACAAAAATAATGTTTATTAAAAGCTACCCTCATGCAATAAATAAATGTATACCTAAAATACAAATAAATAATTTGAATCAAATATTCCCCATCAGCAATCAGTAAATGTGTTCAATTAAAATATAAAAAAACAATTTACCTAAAAATTTTCTGTAACAAATAAATGTATTTAACTGAAATATAAATAATTAATTATAACTAAATATATTCCAGAAAAAAATTAAAAATATTACAATAAAATTAAAATGTAAGTAAATGTAAATAAATGCTTCCTGTGAGCAATAAAGGAATGTGTTATCAGCAATAACAATACACGAACAAGCAACAGCAAACTTTGTTAACTAAAATTTCGAGAAATTAGGGGAACATTTTGCTTGTAATATCGAAGTAAATTAAGCGAATATTTGAGCGTACATAACTGAAAGTTTGAACGATAATATATTTCGATACAATGGTCCGTTTAATTACGAACATTTTCAGCAGGTATAACTTTATTAAAAATAATATTCATTAATCAAAAACGTGCGCGAAATAATTGGGGAGCATACGTATATTCTGAATATATCAATAGATTATTTTAATCATTTTAATTTATCACGATGAGCTGATAAAAGTTCTCGTTACTGCTGAACAATGAGTAATCAATTTTAAAAGCTGTTGAGGATATCTTCCTTTTAAAATAATTTATTTATTTAGAGTACGTGTGGGTATGGTTTAAGAGGACTATGTTAATGGATGTTTGTATGCATTTTGATAAATAAATATGTTGTTTCACGATATGAATATTCGTCTTATTGTATGTGAATATGTGAAATTAAAAAAGTGAGAAATTTAAGAATTGAAGAATTGAAGAACAAAAGAACTGAAGGTTATTCAATTCAATAATAGACGAATTTTCGAAGGGACGAATTGAAGAACTGAAAAACTGAAGATTTGATGAATTGAAGCACTAAAAATAGGGCGATTGAAGAATTGAGGAATTGAGGAATTGAAGAACTGAAGAACTGAAGAATTGCAGAATTGCAGAATTGAAGAATTGGAGAACTGAAGAACTGGAGAATTGCAGAATTGAAGAATGGAAGAATGGAAGAATGGAAGAATGGAAGAATTGAAGAATTGAAGATCTGAAGAACTGAAGAACTGAAGAACTGAAGAACTGAAGAACTGATGAACTGAAGAACTGAAGAACTAAAGAACTGAAAAACTGAAGAATTGAAGAATTGAAGAATTGAAGAATTGAAGAATTGAAGAATTGAAGAATTGAAGAATTGAAGAATTGAAGAATTGAAGAATTGAAGAATTGAAGAATTGAAGAATTGAAGAATTGGAAAACTGGAAAATTGGAAAGTTGAAGAATTGAGAAATGGAGAAATGGAGAAAGGAAGAAATTGGTAAATTGGGAAATTGAGAAACTGAGAAACTGAGAAACTGGGAAATGGGAAACTGAGAAACTGAGAAATTGAGAAATTGAGAAATTGAGAAATTGAGAAATGGAGAAATGGAGAAATGGAGAAATGGAGAAATGGAGAAATGGAGAAATGGAGAAATGGAGAAATGGAGAAATGGAGAAATGGAGAAATGGAGAAATGGAGAAATGGAGAAATGGAGAAATGGAGAAATGGAGAAATGGAGAAATGGAGAAATGGAGAAATGGAGAAATGGAGAAATGGAGAAATGGAGAAATGGAGAAATGGAGAAATGGAGAAATGGAGAAATGGAGAAATGGAGAAATGGAGAAATGAAGAAATGAAGAAATTGAGAAACTGAGAAATTCAGAAATTCAGAAACTCAGAAATTCAGAAATTGAAAAATTAGAAAATTAGAAAATTAGAAAATTAGAAAATTAGAAAATTGAAAAATTGAAAAATTGAAAAATTGAAAAATTGAAAAATTGAAAAATTGAAAAATTGAAAAATTGAAAAATTGAAAAATTGAAAAATTGAAAAATTGAAAAATTGAAAAATTGAAAAATTGAAAAATTGAAAAATTGAAAAATTGAAAAATTGAAAAATTGAAAAATTGAAAAATTGAAAAATTGAAAAATTGAAAAATTGAAAAATTGAAAAATTGAAAAATTGAAAAATTGAAAAATTGAAAAATTGAAAAATTGAAAAATTGAAAAATTGAAAAATTGAAAAATTGAAAAATTGAAAAATTGAAAAATTGAAAAATTGAAAAATTGAAAAATTGAAAAATTGAAAAATTGAAAAATTGAAATATTAGTCAACAGATAACCATAAAAATGCAAGAATAAAAAGGCAGAAAAATAATGAAATAAAACAATAGAAAAATGGAAACCTCGAAGCACAGAAAACTTCAAAAACGCAACACTAAAAGAACAAAAATCCACAAAAGTACAAGTATCAAAAATGTAAAAGCAAATATTTAAATCTCTCTCAACCACAGTGGTCCAGCACCTATCGACACCCAGCTTTAAAAATGAAAATAAAAAATTCGCAACACGCCATTCTTTCACATTCGAGTGTATCACTCTCAAGTTATTAAATTATCAGTGACTCACCTTGTATTTCGTATTAATGTTTACACGCTTCCCGTGAGATCTCACGTCATGTTACAGCCTTATTTTATATTCATCGGAGTGTGACGTTCTGCTCCTTCAGAATGTTCGAAGGTCGGTAAGCAACGTGTTAAAAACTTGCACGTATATATACAATCACACTTGTACATATCCACAACGTTCTGGAGCTAGAGAAGGATATATTAATGACTCGTCAAGGATACAGTAGGGACACTGCACTCGTTGCTTTCTCGGAAACAGTTGAATGTCCTTCACCTTGCTGAACGAACGTTCGATAATGAATCATGATCCTTATTTAGACTCCGGGGGATGTAGGTTAACAAAAGATATTCTGAAAAATTCATACGAATTTTAAAATATCTCTACTAACTTTACAAACATGCAAATTCTATTTAAATTTGAATTTAATCACGTAATACTGAATATTTTTTCATAAAATTTTGCACAGAGTACAAAACACAGACTGTAGACGGTTTTAGAATAGTTTTTGTGAGGATAAAAATTGAAGAAATACTATAAAAGTCATCCTAACCTCAATTCTGCGATTTTGGCGGGAAAAGGGCGCCATCTTCGTCGCGTGACGTCATACGAGTCGGACAATTTGTTTCAACAAACGCACAAAATATAAGTTATCGAAAAGCTCTGTGATAATAAAAAGTTCAACGAACAAAATTTCAAGAACACGAACAAATTTCGCCGCTTCCTCTATTCTAATTTAGACAAAATTTCCTTTAGCATTTCAATCATTATCTGATTATTGACATCCTCAAAAATAAAACGAATATTCATGAATATTTGATTCCCTTATTGAATCTTGGAAGATATTTATTTTTAACCCAGTGAGCGGCTAATTTTATATGACAGTTTTATGTATTTCTACTAAACGGTTCAAATTTCGCGCCACGGCGATAAAGATATATCGGCATGCAAAAATATACGTATGAATAATGCAGACTCTTTACTGTACGAGACTTTATTTTCGAATAAATTGATCGGGTAAATTTATACAGCATGTTTTTTGCTCGATTGTGTTGGCAACAGGATGAAAACAATTTGTGATAATTGTTGAAGTAATTTTAGGTAACACCTGGAAGTAATTTCAGGTATTACGGGAAATAAATATGAAGGCAAAGGAGTATAAAAGTGGGTCGAGGAAAACATCTGAATAAAAGTGAAACCGATCGAGTTGTTTCCGTGATTGGAAAATTATATCCTTTCAAAAATTGCGAAATCGGTGAACAGTGAAGTGTTATGCTGAGTGAGTCGCGTGATGACTTGGAATTTTTAAATTGGTAAATGGAAAAGTGTTTCTAGATAAGGTTATGAAATGCTATAAGTAATAATGGATGGTGAGTATTAATGAATTTGTTGGGGAGAAATTGTTTAATTTTGGAATTTAGGGATTTTAGGTTTTTTGCAATTTTGGGATTTTGAGATTTGGAGGTTGCGAGGTTTGGGATTCAGGGATTTAGGGATTTAGGAGATTCGAGATTTAGAGATCTAAGGAATTTGGGAGATTCGAGATTTAGGGATTTAGGGAATTTGGGAGATTTGAAAATTAAGGAATCTTGGGATCTAGGGAATTTGGGAGATTCGAGATTTAGGGATCTAGGCAATTTGGGAGGTTCGAAATTTAGAGATCTAGGGAATTTGGGAAATTTGAGAATTAAGGAATTTAGGATCTAGAGAATTTGGGGGATTTAAAGATTTAGGGAATTTTGGAATTTGTGAATTATGGGATTTGGGAATTATAGAATTTGGGTATTTTGGTATTAAAGAATTTTGGGATTTTAAGATTTTAGGATTCTGAAATTTTGAGATTTTGCAATCTTGATATCTTGGGATTGTAAAATCTGAGAAACTAAAATAAATTTAAGAAACCAGAAAATTATAAAATTTGCGCTCAACGAGTGTTCTACTGATTTCCAGTATTTTATATCTCTCGTGGCAATATAACTAGAGTCTACTAAATTCATGCTAATTTTCCTTTCTTAGAAACTAAAATAATTTTGAGAAACCCAAAAATGAAGAAGATTACAAAATTTGTATTCAACGATTAATATACTGATCTCTAATATTCTGTATTTCTCGTGGCAATATAACGAGAGTCCACCATATTCATGCTAATTTTCCTTCGACAGAAACTAAAATAATTTTGAGAAAAACCTGAAAAATCTTTTAAAAAGACTACAAAATTTGCATTCAACAAATGCTCTACTGATCTCCAATATCCTATATCTCGCGCGGCAATATAACGAGTCTGCCAAATTCACACAAATTCTTCTCCATTGGCAAATGTAGAAATGTACAATTTTTTCTATGACAATTCCAGTTATTTTTCATGTCAATTTTAATATTTTGTAAAATTAAAATACTTTGTTTTTTGTCAAAACCCTCGAGAAATTGATTAAGTCGGTAAAAGTAAGCGCAATATCTTAAATAATCGTTTTATTGCACAATCCTTCGGGAGAGTCCGTCGATCAGAGAAGGATAACGGAGAAAGTAGATAAGGCAGTGAGCAGACATCGAGCGAACATTCCACTTCCTACTGTTTGTAGAAGAACACGTGTTACCAATAGCGATCGTTGTACACTCTCTATGGTTGACACGCTTTTACTAGCGGGGCCCACGTTACGTCCGTTGCATTACGTGTACGCATGTACGCGATATTATTCGTGCGTATTCAGCATGTGGTCACGAACCCGATGTCGATACTGTTCTTCATGAAAACGTCGGCCATAAGTCCGTCCTCGTCATTTCCTCTGGTGTGGCCCGTTGTTCTTCTTCGTTCTCGCTCTCCCACTCGATCCTGGCACTGTTTGAGGAATCTCATTACAAAAGTTGCCTGTAAAACCGGTTTCTAACCAGTGCAACCGGCCACCATCGCATAGGTTCACTTTACTCCATGTAGGTGTGACTTCTTTTCGTCTGCCCTGTACGGGCTTCGCTTTTGGACACCGTTATCGATTTTTCGTTGTATCGTGGATTAATTATGTATGCTTTGAATTATGGATTGATGTTTTATCTTATTCTGAGTTATTAGTACATTAAATTGTGTTAAACAATAAAAATATTCATGAATTAGGCTTTTGTGTTAAATTAAATTAAATTCAGCATTTGAGTTAAATTCAAATATAAATTTAATTGAATTAAACAATTATATTAAATTAAGTTAGATTACCAGTGTTAAATTAAAATAAATATTCATTTTTAATAATTGTTAAAATTAAATGAAAAATGATGTGATTATTATTAATGATTGAATTATTAGTTATTAATTATTCATGTTTAATATTCGTTAAATTTAATGAAGTATTAATTTTAAATTAACTTGAGTATCAATTTTTATATTCATAGTTATAAGTTAAGTATTCACATTAAATTAAATTAATTTAAATTATGTAACAATGTTAACTTAAATTAATTATCAGTATTATTTAAAATTAAATTAAATTAAATTAACTATTAATATCAAATTACATTGTCTATTAATACTAAATTAAATATTTTTGTTAAATTGAACTATTTATTAATATTAAAATCAATTATAATAAGTATTAGTATTAAATTAAAATAATTATTATCAAATTAATTTATGCAGTAATATTAAAATAAATTGAATATTGATATTAAATGACGTATTAAATTAATTATTAACATTGAATAGTTATTGACAATATACAGTAATGTATAATTCATACAAATCTAAATTGTACAATTAACCTTTAACATACAACACAAATTCTACATTTCTTTAAATAAATAAATTAATAGAATTATTAAACAGAACACAACAATACATATTTAAGCATAATAATAAATAAAAATATGACATTAATTTATTTAAACATACCAAAAATAATTAACATGGGTGGCTAAAGTGACTGATTAAAATGATTCACTAATAAATTCCCGTTCCTCAACAATTTTCTTATTTATTAGTAAGTGAACCTAACCTAAAATTTTGTCAGAATTCTGAACTCACCCGGTACACTGCGGTGACCAATGGATCAATATTCCTTGTTCATGAAGAGAAACTCAATACCTTGAGGGAATAAACAGGCAATTAATTTCCTTAAAGATTTGTTAACGATATTTGCACCAGTGGTTATCAACTTGTAGCAATATTACTTCAATCTATCCCCCAAAAACAATTACCAAAATACATTTTGCATTCTCATACAAATTATTAAAATTAATTCCTTTGCCTTTTAAAATTGTTATCACTATATACAGTTCTTTGAACATTTATAAAAATTACATTAAATTGTTCAGTAAATAATAAGTGAATTTTTGGTAAAATATTTTTGAATGAATTTTTGATTAAATAGTCGGATATCAAGTATTACGGAAAGTTTATTTGTAGATAACTGTAGGAAAAGGAATGTGGTTATCTAAAAAGCCTCAAGGAAATTTAGGTCTCCTAGAATATGCAACCGGCAGTGCACGAACAACCGCATGAAATCTTGAAGAAGCCTTCAAACAAGCATAACGACTCGTTTTATTCCACGCAAAGTAACTTGAACCAAGAAATAGTGCACATATTCCGTTTTGATATCGTAAACATTAAAAATATTCTTTTACCTTGTGGATGCGCGGAATATATACGTTTTATGGAACACGCATACACAGTCTACAATTAAATATTCAACAATGTGAAGGTCTTGATGTTTAACATTTTCGTAAATTTAAAAAAATTGCAAAATTTAAAAAAATTTCGGAGTCTTAAAGTTGGAAAGTTCCAGTTTTAAAAATGACAAATTTACAAATTTCGACATAGAGAAATACCATAGTTGCAAAATTCAAATACTTCAAGATTCAATATTTAAAAGTTCTACCATTCTACATATCTACAATACTACATACTTATGATTCCACAATTTCACAATTTCACAATTCCATAATTCCACAATTCCAAAATTCCATGATTTCGCAACTCTACAATACCACAAATCCATAATTTCAAAATTCCGCAAATCCCAAATTCCATAATTTCGCAACTCCACAATTCCAAAATCCCCTAATTCCGCAATTCCACAATTGTATAATCCTGTAATTCCGCAATTCCACGATCCCGCAATTCCACGATCCCACGATTCCGCAATTCCACCGCTCCACAATTCCTCAATTCTACAATTCCGCAATTCCACAATTCCATAATTCCACAATTCTTCAATTGCTCAATCCCTCAATTCCACAGTTCCACAATTCCGAAATTCCACAATTCCAAAATTCCACAATTCTAAAATTCCACAGTTCCACAATTCCATAATTCCACAATTCCTCAGTTCCTCAATCCCAGAATTCCACAGTTCCACAATTCCGAAATTCCACAATTCCAAAATTCCACAATTCTAAAATTCCACAGTTCCACAATTCCATAATTCCACAATTCTTCAATTGCTCAATCCCTCAATTCCACAGTTCCACAATTCCGAAATTCCACAATTCCAAAATTCCACAGTTCCACAATTCCATAATTCCACAATTCTTCAATTGCTCAATCCCTCAATTCCACAGTTCCACAATTCCGAAATTCCACAATTCCAAAATTCCACAGTTCCACAATTCCATAATTCCACAATTCTTCAATTGCTCAATCCCT